AATGTTTAATGTTGAGGTTAGCTCTCGCCTTGAGGTCCAGCTGCAAATACATGTTTGACGTCACAGTGTCACCACAAGACTCCACTTCCTGTATTGATATTTTCACATTAAAAACACTCATTCAATTCACACATGCGCAACACAGCGAAGATTTCACAACAGCAACAAATCCATCAGACCTTTGCGTTCAAACATGCACCTTCTCCAGAGTAAATACAGAGGAACTGCTGCATCTGTGTAAGCAGCTTTAGTGACTTCATGTCCCGCATTGGTTTTTCCAGTGACTGTTAATACTGGGACTTTTTATTTAAGTCACTTCACAAGCTGACACTACTAAGCCTGGGTTCTCTAGCATTTGTTTTTTTGTGTTCATTATACAGACTAATTGAACACCCTGCTGTGCTTTTCAGTATTGCAGATAACCTGCCAGTTGCCACCAGATTAGAATTCTACCCCAACAGAGAGGCAGGAGGTGAAGGTGAGGAGCAGAAGAGAAAAGAGGATGTGGTGAAAGATGTCCAGTTTGAACATGGCTACAGACTGGGCTTTGTCGACAACAACAAGGTAGATTTTATATACCATTGTGCTATCATGAGCACATTGTTGAGAAGTGGAGAGAATGCAGAGAGTGCAGGAAACTCTAGTTATAGATTGCGTGTTATGTCTCTGCTATGTTTACCTTCACTGCTCTTATTATGAGGGATTGTGTTGTACTTGCCCCACAGTTTTACAAAACTAATTAGTATTTTTATTTTATCTTTGGAGATTCTCAATTATCAAGGTCATGGTAACTAAAACTGGTTCAATTGGACTTGGTTGAGCTTGAAAATCAACCAAGTCACTTGGATGTATCATTATTTAGATTTTATTCTCTGCTCTTCTTTGTGGTTTGAGAAGTGAGCTGGATGTTACAATGTTTCAATTAAATTTGAGGACAGTTATCGAGAATAATTGTTTTGTCATATCTGATCAAACCATTCCTCCAAACACAAGTGGCTTGAAAGCTTAACGTCTACATTCCTAGAAAATCCTGGAAAATCTACTAATTGTCATATTTTCTCCCTCACAGTATTATTTACACAACCACCTGTCCTTCATCCTGTACTTCCACCGGGAGAAGCTGGAAGAGGGGGAAATTCACGACTACAGGGTGGTGCGGTTTGAAGTTGTACCCCAAAGTGTAAAAGTGGAAGGTAAGTGTTCACACACTCTGACCCATGGTGATTAAAAACTCTTTGCTTAAAAGGCAGACATGTCGCCTCCAAAGTGGCCAGTAAAGTAAATATTGTAAATCACTTGTTGTATTTATTCCTCGTCAGATCTGAAAGCAGTGAAATCAGACCAGACTTGCACCTTGCCAGAGGCCAGTGGCTCTGCACCCCAGGAGATTGACCCAACTAGGGAGAACAATGTTCTCTTCACCTACTCGGTCCACTGGGAGGTCAGTGAGTGCTGCACAGGTTCTCAGCAACCAGGAGCCAGACCAGTCTGACCCCCAAATAAATTCCTAAAACAAAAGTAATAGGACAAAAGGAACATGAAAAAATACAGTTTTATTAAGTTCTTTCTTCTCTACAAATCTCCTTCTTCAAATTTAGACTCAAGTGTGTAATGGTTGGAATTTGTTAGTCAAAGGTCATGGCCACTGTGACTTCATTTAAGACGTTTTTGAACATACATTGAGAATTCAGAAACGTATAATTTAATGATAAAATACACTTAACACCTTAAATCAAACTCAAAACAATAGAAAATATGAGACTGTCCAAATAATTGCAGACTCTAGTTGGGAAAATTAAGATTGTTTTTGGAAATGCCAAGCACCAAAGTTGAGATCAGATGATAAAGTTGAAGCATTTTTTCAAGCTGTTGACCTTCCTAGGATTTGAAATAAAGTGTGGTGAAGGAACTGCTGAGCCTCTTGTCTCCTGTGTGCAGGAGAGCGAGGTGAAGTGGGCGTCTCGATGGGACACTTACTTGACCATGAGTGATGTCCAGATTCACTGGTTCTCCATTGTCAACTCTGTGGTGGTCGTCTTCTTCCTTTCTGGTACGTCCAGTTTTTCACATATTTTGCCCACTTCTTAAATGTCCATATCAACATAGTAGAGCACTGAATGTCTTTGGGCCCGTGGACTCTTAAAGCCTGTGGTGTTATGTAAGCCTATAATATCTATACATCCTGCTCAGATTACTGTGACATGTAGTCAGTTCCTGAATAAAAATGTCATGGCAATTTTTGTAGCATAATGTTTTGAATTACCAAATAATTTAATTTATTTGGATTATTTCATTAAACTTGAAGATGTCGCACCTTATACTGCAAAAGTGTACAATTTTTACTGTAATATAATTACTTCAATTGTTAAAATCTGAGCTGATCATAGAACCTTGTTTTGTAATCTGACTCCATCTAACCACTAATTCCAGAAATGTCTGTATGTAAAAAGCACATCTCGTGAACTTTTCAACTTATCAGCTTCACATTTATGTGTATTGTGTTACCCCCCCACGTTTATGTGGCCCTATGAGGCAAACAACATGTAAAATCACTGACCACCACTGATGCGAATCAAGATCAGATTAAAAACAGCAGAACCATGGGATTTATTATCATCAAACAACACAATACACACAATGTTCAAATCCCATGCTGAGGCCCAGCAGTCCCCACACTGGAAGCCTCTGTTCTGATCCTGACACAGGAGTTTTTAAAGAACCTCACTGCACCAGGTGCACCTCACTGATGATGACTGATCAGTTAATCAGGGTGGAGCTAGAGGAAGACTAGAGGAAAATGGACACAGTACAGGAGACACATACAGCCGTACATATCGTTGCAGGCTGGAGGAAATGCAGGGTTGAAATTGCTTTGATTTGGATTCAATATTAATAAAATATGAATTTTGATATTTGATAATTTTTATTTCACCATATTGGACTGACACAGACATTCAGTGGTGTCGCAGGTTCTGATTTCCGTCATGGAAGCAACATACATAGAATAATTTCCTCTTTAGCAATTTGTATACAAAGTAAAAGCACAAATTAGTTTTGTTGCTGTAATTGCTTCATATTGAGCTGAATTTTACAGATCTTTTATTTTGAAAAGCTGTGAACTTGAGTCTGAAGATTGTCTCAGTTGCACTATAGATCCTGAAATAGCTGATGACACAAATGAAAAAATAATAACAGTTCATAAATCATTCAAACTCATATGTAAACCACACACATGAACAGTAACAAGGTACCTACTTTTTTTCATTTTTCACCTTCATTGCAGATAAACTATGTAGGATAACGTTTTTTTAACTTCATTCTACACCAAAGACTGTTTATAGAAAGCTCTGCACACAACGTCCGGCACATAAACACTAAAACGTGACAGTATATTGTAGAACTGTTTGAGGAGGACTCAGTAAAGACAAGGGATAATTCTGAAGTAGCTCCAGAGCTTTAACAAGACAACAGCTCATTCTCAACAGGTACATTAAAAACACTAGTTATCAGGATTAAATATAACCCATCACAAGCCACCCCTGGTTATGCCATACATCCAAATATCAACTTGTTTTTTTGACAGCATGTGAACTGTGGCTGTTTCCGTCTTTCTTACTGAATCACATTTTCCTTGTTCCCTCAGGTATTCTGAGTATGATCATTATCAGGACCTTGAGGAAGGACATCGCTAACTACAACAGAGAAGATGACATTGTGAGTAAATACCCACTGGGGCTGCACAATAAAATAATAATAATGAATATCATGTTCAGTAACAATATAGCTCAAGTCCAATATATTTATATATGTATTGAATTCATGCTTATGCAAGCATTGTAAAAGTTATAACACACAATTCTTTTGGATGTTCTGCCTCATATTTGTGAACTGTTTCACTGTTTTGGGAAAATAAGTTTGAATCCACCGTTCAATGTCTCGCTAGAGTATAAATCATGTTTTAAGATTAGAATTAATATCTTGATAATTATTGATATTGACAGATATGACAATTTTTATTGGCATGACATTTTAAAATACATATTCACCCAGCCCAAATACAACCAAAAACAGTGGACATGCTTTCAGCAAGTCTATGCGGAAAAACACTAACACTGTTTTTGAGAAGTTGCATAGATCAGAAAGAATTCATTTATTGTCAACTGATTTTGGTTTTTCTGAAATCGGATTTGAGTTCTTGATGTTCATGTTCAGATCGGTATGTTCCAACCCACGTGATCAAATTTCTGTCCCCCCCTAACTAGGAGGACACCATGGAGGAGTCGGGATGGAAGAACGTCCACGGTGACGTCTTCAGGCCGCCTCAGTATCCTATGATCCTCAGCTCTCTGCTGGGCTCGGGGATCCAGCTCTTCTGCATGATCCTCATCGTCATCTGTAAGTGTTTCTCTATCATTGGTTACTTTGCAGATAGTGACAGTGCACGTCTCTCATTTTTCATGAGGTCAAAAAAGCGTCACTCAGTCGCTGTGATCGAACAACTCAAAGAGTGTGAAGAGTCTGTTCACTTCATTTTCAGGAATCAAAATCTCCTGGTTAAACTTTCATTCTATCGAATCAATACATTAACTTTAGTTCTGCATAAGGATCTTCAGTTGCAGGAGCAAGTAGCTGTTGCAAAATTAGATCTAGGTAATCTATCAAACAGTCAAACTGCCACATTCTCCTCTGTGTGTCACAGTCGTTGCCATGTTGGGCATGTTGTCTCCATCCAGCAGAGGGGCCTTGATGACCACTGCTTGCTTCCTTTTCATGTTCATGGGGTAAGAGCCACATTTATCTCTCTGAGAGCCATGAAGACATTTCCCAAATATGTTCCTGTTTAAATAGTGCATCTCTTTAACTGTACGCTGCTTGTTCCTGTGCACGTGTTTCCTCCAGTGTGTTTGGTGGCTTCTTTGCTGGAAGACTGTATCGCACACTGAAGGGCCATCGGTGGAAGAAAGGAGCTTTTTGTGTGAGTCAGTAATAAATCAACCCCATGATGTGAAAGGAAAAAAATCTCCTATGATAATAATAATGGAATTGAGTAATAGAGTGTTTCCTATAGGATACTTTTTAGCAGTCAGGTTCCCCTCCCTCAAGGGAACGTGATCTGCCCCCCCCCCCCCAAAAAAACATAAAAATAATAATAAACTCAATAGTGATGTTATTAATTACTTTATTTTGATGCTCTCCACATAAAGGCACTAAGGCTTGTGTGGTGAAAAGCTCTGTTTACAGCCTGTACGGTATCCAGGTGGCCCTGCTGACCCCTCTTGGCATCTAAGCATTACACATTACTCTGCGCTGACAACAAGAGACTCTGCTCCTCTACTCTTTCCTAATCTTACTGACACTTAGAACCGATCTTTATACAAACCTGCTGAATTCATATATATGTGTCCATGGGTAAAGGGAGCTTCGCTTCTTCTGCAACAATAAAGTAAAAACACTGCGTTGCGTCATGATCTGTCAGGAAGAACTTCTCTCCTGTCTGCAGGATTGTGTGTGTGTGTGTCTGCTCGTCTCGAGCGAATCAAACATACACAAAGTAAACTTCAAGGACTATTCGCGTTCTAATAACTTCTGATTAATGTTGGTGTTTATTGTTAATGTGCTAAGTAAGTGCAGGTCAGCAGGAAAGTCAAGGTAATACATGGGGCAGGGTCATACAGCACGGTACAAGGATACCAGGCCTATAATGTGCGGGCCACCGTTGCAAAATCAACGTAGTGGAAACCCGGTAATGAGTAACAGGTGATACAGGCTAAAACATAGGCCATGGTAGTAATAGCAGTAATTAGGGCTGTCACTTTTTCTTCTAAATGCGATCATTTATTTGAATGTGTGGGGGTTATATTCAACCTCTAATGACATGTTCAACCTCTAAATGTGCAGTCTAGTTTGTTTCAAGATCTAAGAGAGGGTGATCACTGTCAACTTCACCTATTGCATGCCCTCTTGACCTATCAGTGAAGTAAGCACTGTTACACAAAGTCATCCTGTGCAGACGATCATGACGTTAAAGCATCTGAGAAGTTGTGTTTTTGAAATGCAAACTGCATTTGAACTGCTCAAAGAAATTAAGGTTAAAACATAATTGTCACAATATAACAGCAAGTCAGTAAAACTTCAGGGATATCAATCTGTGCATTTAGGAAGCACAAGTGATTGTGAATCAATTTCTCCACTTTTAGTCAAATGAAAGTGACATCAGGTGCAACGCAGAGGCAAAATCAAGACAACCCCCAAAAGGGGAATGGTGTTTCATGTAGTGGCCACAGTTGCTCTCTCTTTATCTTTCCTGACTCTGGCTCTGCTGGTGTCCTTGTCACTACTGTTAGCATGAGGAGGTACCTGCAGCCCAATCAGGTTGCACAGGTAGTCCAGCTCCTCCAGGAAGGCACAGCCATACGTGTGGTCACAAGGAGGTTGACTGTGTCTCCCAGCACAGTCTCAATACTGATCCAGGTGTGGGAGGAGCTCCCCCACGACACCATCTGCAGACTCATCATGAACATGCCCAGAAGTTGTAGGGAGTGCATACAAGCACGCAGGGGCCATACATACTACTGAGAAACATCATGAGTTGCCATGATAAAATTCACACAAGTTGGATCAGCCTGTGATTTTTTGACCTACATTTTCTGTGTGGTTTTGAATCCAGCCCTCAATGGGTTGATGATTTTGGTTCCATTGACTGTGATGTCATTTCAGTAAAGATTTTCAACTTGAATAATTTGTTCATCAAGATCTAATTGGTGTTCCCTTAATTTTTTGAGCAGTGTATTTTGGGTTCTATACTGTAGATGGGAAGTATGGATCAAGGGTGACGCTGTTTGTTGTCTTTGTACCAACTGCCATACAACAAATCTCTGAGCTCATGTGTTAGAGGGAGCAGAGTAGGCACCACGGTCAAGTCAAGTGTTGTGTCACGTTTAGTAAGCCAGCACTGAGTGACCCAAACAAGCTGTATGGAATATAATCCAATCGACTCAAATGTGAGAGATATGACATTGCCAGGCCACTTCTGTCCTTTATATCAACTAGAAGAATTTTAAAGTCATGAATTCCTCCTGAATTAATATATTCACTTATTTTTCAATGCAAACCAACTATTTTATTGACAATTTTAATGTGTTAATAAAGGAGCATTGTACCATTGGTGTCACTGCAAACAAAGAGGCTGAGCTCGTCTTGTTTTGTCTCTCCTGCAGACGGCGACTTTGTATCCTGCAGTGGTTTTTGGAATTTGCTTCATCCTCAACTGTTTCATCTGGGGAGAACATTCGTCTGGAGCGGTGAGTCTCATGCCTCACAGACACTGTGCAGTCATTGCAAATAAGGGCATAACAAACCAGAAGGTTAATGTGATTTTAATTACCAACCTGATCACTTTGTTAAAAGGAAAGATTTTCCCTCAATCACCTAAAACATGTTAAAATGAGATGACGTGACGTTTGAGAGAAAAAACAAATAATTTCAGTTATTTACAAAAATCTCCTGTGGCTTTATCACAAGTAAAACAGCAAGTAAACACTATTTTTGATGTGACGTGATGAAAAGTTATGTAGGAGCAGCACAAATAAAGCAAATTATATAAGTCATTAAACTAGTTAAACATTATCAGTTATAAAAACGTAGATATATCTAAGTTTGCCAGCATTAGGATCCACAAACTACAGGTCATACCAGACCAAATATAATAATTAAATCTGGCAGCAAAACCACTGAGCTCATAGCGAAGGAATCCAAAGTAAAAGTAAAAAGCCGGCTCCTTATATGGTGAGTGAGTTGAGTGGCTTAGGTTTGTGCAGGTATATTAGAGTTCAATAGCATAAATAAAAGTTGAATAAAGAGTAGAACAGCTACGATACAGAACATCCTCTGAGCTATTATCTGATTTATTCCAAATGAAGAGCATGTATGTGGTTTGTTTCAGCTAATGTTTAGATTTAAAGTGAATCAGTACAGTGTCATGGATTGTTTAACACGGTCCTTCCTCTCCCCGTTCCTCATCAGGTTCCCTTCACCACGATGCTGGCTCTGCTGTGTATGTGGTTCGGTATCTCCATGCCCTTGGTCTACCTGGGCTACTACTTTGGCTTTCGCAAACAGCCTTACGATAACCCAGTACGCACCAATCAGATCCCTCGGCAGGTCCCGGAGCAGCGCTGGTACATGAACAAGTTTGTTGGGTGAGTGTTTACCCAATCTAGGTCTGACCTTTTACTGGGACGGTTATGTTGAAGGGTTCGAACATTCGACTTGAGGCGTGCTCTCTTCTGATATGTAAACTTTTCTTTGCACTAGAATCCTGATGGCTGGGATCCTGCCATTTGGGGCTATGTTCATCGAGCTCTTCTTCATATTCAGTGTGAGTACCGCTCTTTGTTGTGAGCAGTTCAAAACCTGCTGTCAGTGCTGCACAAATATTGTGTGAATTTCTTGTGTGTCTCAGTAACATGACACAGATGAAAGCTTTATAAGTTTCATTGGGACGATTTCAAACTAAAACAGTCTCTTTCCACATGAGTGTTTCGGCTCTGAATCTGTTTAAATCCCTGTCCATACTAATAAGCCATTATAAACAGAAAACATTTTGTTGTTAGTAGCAGACAACAGGATCAGCAACGATTCTAATTGATTATACAGGTTGCGTTCTACACTGGTAACCAAGGCTAATGCCGGTTGTGTTCTCCCCAGAGAGGGTCGTGTGATAAGACCCTGACGAATCAGCAGTAGGGCTGCACAATAATAGGAAAGCATGCGATAACGTTGTTGATTACCGCGACGACGATATGACTTGCAATAAATAAACAAACAGTCCCTGTATAGAGTCACCAGCCAGTCTTCTGGTTCAAGAGGCAAAACTCTGCATGTTAGTGATGCCGCATTCATGTGAATGCTCCGGTCCAGGTCGTATACAATGAAATTACATCCAGTGTTCCTCCTATTCAAGGGACACAGTTACCCCAGAACTACAATCAACAGCATGACTGACTCTGACAATAAATCACATTTAATCATTTACCCATATTATGTGCAGACCTCTCCTTCAAATAATGTTCATGCTTATTTTAATCCAATAGACAAATAGTATTTCAATAGTCCTTTCCTTCTTAAAGGGATAGTTCACTAAAAAATGAAAATTCACTCATCGTCTACTCACCGCTATGCCGATGGAGGGTTGGAGTGTTTGAGTCCACAAAACACTTTAGGGTTCCAAGGGGTAAACTTTGTTAGAGCAGAATCTAATGCAATTGAAGTAAGTGGTGACCAAAGCTTCAGACGTAATAAAATAACAGAAGAAAACATAACATGCCTCCCTACTTCTCATGTGGTGTCATCCATGTGTCCGCAAGCCCCAACATTCATATTTGAATATTTAAGCCTAAATGTCCACCAGAAGTGGCTAAGCTAGCAGACGTTAGCATTTCCAACGGTCAGGGCTTGCAGACACTATGCTGACACCACACGAGCAGGTAGAATCGTAATCT